CATGACTTCATCAGGACTCGCATGACACCGTCCTGCTGCTCTACCCACACAGAGACGGCACTGACACCAGCTGGCCCTTGGCCCCTGTCCTGGCCCCGCGTTTTTGTGTTTATCATCACATTTCCTCTGGAGATCCTTGTCACACATCAGAGCATTTGAAGATTATATGTATTTTTAGACACTGATTCCGCTCCATTACGTGCAGGAATTATTTCATAGCTGTACTCCTCAGAGTCCCAGCAGGAGGCCAGTCCCTGTGCTCCTCAGAGTCCCAGCAGGAGGCCAGTCCCTGTGCTCCTCAGAGTCCCAGCAGGAGGCCAGTCCCTGTGCTCCTCAGAGTCCCAGCAGGAGGCCAGTCCCTGTGCTCCTCAGAGTCCCAGCAGGAGGCCAGTCCCTGTGCTTCGCAGAGTCCCAGTAGGAGGCCAGTCCCTGTGCTCCGCAGAGTCCCAGTAGGAGGCCAGTCCCTGTGCTCCGCAGAGTCCAAATTAAAGCTGCAGTTCATATTTCTACATTATTACGAGTCATCTAGAAGCAGAAAATGTTTTTGCTCCTTTGATTGTGGAAAAGTATCAAGTGTAAAAGATTAAGTGGTGTAGTTATGTCAGATGGCTCAGTGGGCCGGTGTTAAGCCCAAATACACACGCACAGACACAGACACACATGTGCACTCACACACACAGACACAGACACACACGTGCACGCACACACACACTGCTGCTGTGCGCACTGGCCTTATGTCTCTTTTGTAATGAAGCGTAAGGACGTTACATAACACCAGCTGACATGCTCTTTATCTTGCTTTCACACTATCACTGTTTACGTCAATCTTTTTCCCATATGGCACCGTCACGGTGAAATAACCACATGGTTTGGATACATTTTGAAAACATAACAATACTAACTCCGCACCCAACATGCACCATAATGGAAGAGAATGGAGATAGATGTAAATGCGTTGGTCGTAATGAATAGATTTCATTAGAGTTTCAGAAAATGCACATCGCCAGGGCCTGCGCCGTATAATGGGCAGAAACAAGAGCCTTTTCCCGGATTTCCAACGCTCTAGATTGATGGAGGAAGTGGGCAAGCAAGTAAATAAAGCATTGCACAAAATGCATTTTTCTGAGTTAATTCATGGTTTGATTTAAACATTACTTTAACTTTGCTATCCATTTGCAAACATGGAAATGCTGTTCTTGGTATGTTATGGTTTAAAGATTACAATTGATTCAAATAATAAATGAAAAATATAACGTTAAAAAGTGAGTAACCTTGATGAGGCCCACGTTGAGTGAGGGATCAGCAAAAGAGGCTAAAGGAGATTTTAAAGACACTGAAGAAGCCTTTACAGGTTGTTATGTGTGCTCTCTAATCCAAATTGAATGTAATGCATCAGTGTATTTGAATAGGGACAGTACATTATTCAACCATTACATAACATTATATCTATTATATCAACGTAAATTATGAAATTACATTTGTGTGTCTTACACAATGCATTTTGACAATTAAAATATTTAGAAACAACAAAAAACCCAGATTTTTTTAACATTTGTGTTAAGACCAAATGAGCCATTACACGGAGAGCCTTGGGGTCGCAAAGGCCTGCACTAGATCAATATCCTTCACACAAATTACATTATCGAACAAAAGCACAGTGTCTTGGAGGTGTGGTCATGTGATCTCTGTGGCCCTCATCAAACTGAAAAGCCTCCCACTGTATGTTGCCGTGTGCGTGTTGAGAGCCCCACGTCCGCACTTGAAAAATCCTGCCGACTCTGCACAACAGGGGCCTTAATTACTTCTGCTCCCCCTGAGCCTGCCCAAGCAATCAATAGTGTGATAACCAGAGAGCATGCTTTGAGTCAGTCTCTCTAACAAAGCATGGAGACTGACGCAGATCCATACACCTGCTTTTAATGAAACTGTTTCTCCCGGTGGGCGGTGGAGAGACTCGGGACGCACTGCAAAAACTACTGTGTGTGGATTAGGCGCGAAAAAACGATTTTTGGATTAAAAATCAATATTCTCTAAAATGTGGTGCCACTTGCATGTGTAAACCAGTCCGTCAGACCTCTGAAGCTAAGCAGGATATGGTTTGGTTAGTCCTGTCATGGGAGGTTTCCGCAGTGAGGTGGCTGTGGCTGCAAAGTGCCAAACTGTGGTTGTGCCCTCAGACACTTTGCCCACATTGTCTAGAATGAGTAGTAAGTAAGTAGTAAGTAAGTTTTTATTTATATACCGCCTTTTCACTGCAGATCTGAGTCTCAAAGCGGTTTACAATTGTTAATTTTGGGCATTTGTATCTCACTCCACACAGAGATGGGAGCGGGGTCGCCAGTACAGGAAGCGCATGCCAGAACTATTGGACATATTTTTAGTGGTAGGGGAAACCGGAGTACCCGGAGGAAACCTACGCAGACACGGGGAGAACATGCAAACTCCACTCAGAAAGGCCCTGGTCCGACCGGGATTCGAACCCAGGACCTTCTTGCTGAGAGGCGAGAGTGCTATCCAGTCAGCCACCGTGCCGCCCAGTTCATCACCACCGTGAATAGAGTGTCCAAAAGAGTCTATATAAATCCAATGAATTATTAAAGGTATATAGGAGGATTTTCTACTTCCGGGTGGATCATCAAGATTAATGCTCCTCCCATTAATAATTCTGGTGATACGTGCTCATAAGACCAGAGAGTTTAGTTCAAAAAGTGGACACGGCAGTTATTTTCTAAAATAGAGAATATCTTCCTATACATCTTTAATATTGACTTTTTATTTTTACTGTATCATGATTTTTCAAATTTGTCTTTATTACAATGTGTTATTTTCTGATTTTTTTGTTGTTTATTTAAATATCTTGACTTTTAATATAAATGAAACCTCAGTACATGAAACACAATGTAACCATAGTGTTGTATTGTTGCATAATTGGAGCAGATTCATTTATTTAACTGGTTTTCTCAGATGTTGTTTGCATTGTTGTGTATGATTATGGTCATTGTAATTATAAGAAGACATGCTATTGTTAGAGCTGCGGGTAAACATGAATAAAGTACCATGAGTTAACAGATTTTCCCAAAAGAAAAAAAGACCAGCTCCATTGGTAATGATTCACCTGAACTAATTCATGAGTAATACTGTACATGTGTTTTAAAAGGTAGAAAACTAAACTACACTGCGTAGCGATGACATCTGGAGAGAACTCTTCCCTCGGCGTAACAGGGGCTATACTGTCTTTATAACAAGCTCCTGCTCATCAGGACAGTTGACGTCAATGACAGTTCTGATGAGTGACTGTTGACGTCAGTGGAAAATAATGACATGCTCACCTTTTGCTTCTTGCTTTGGGGAGATCTGGTTTACAGTTTTTCTCAGTCGCTTTGGTACTTTTTTCTCATAAATACTTGTTCAACCTCTACAACATTGAGTCGTTTGTGCACATCATCGCAGCAGTTTCTCCTTTGCTCAGATTACAAATGCTTTTCGACATGTATCAGTTACGTTCATAGTCTCAGTCTTTGTATAACCTTTACCTTAACACAACCTCAAATGTATTGGAAATCTCTGAGGTGAAACACATCTTCCATATTAAAACCTTCCGTTGTGGTCAGTCAAAATGAAACATACTTCTGAATGGGACTGACTTCTGAATAGTCAGTCCCTATAAAACTAATTCAATTTGGAGAGACGAGAAACAAGAATGCTTTTGAGTATTTTTAATGAGAGGTGGTTTGGCGCCCTAGGCCCCGGTGCGGCCTTCAGTTCGGGGAGGCTCCTGCGCTGAAGCGCGTAGAATCCCCCCGGGGCCTAGGCACTGGTGGCGGCATTTGGCAGCGTGAAGCGGATTTGGAGGCAGATTGGAGGCAGGGTGAAGAGGAGGAGGAGGGGAGGCGGTGGATGCGAGGCTTCGGAAGGCCGTAAGTGGGAGTTTCTCCGCTTTTAAGCGGCTGGCTTGCCCGGCACGGTGTGATTGGATGGGGGAGTTTGCTGTGCGATAGGCTGGGGATGCGAACCGGCCCGGAGGGGGTATCTTTTTGTTGACGTCTTCTAAATTGAATTTCCGCGGGCTGCATTTCAATTTGGAGAGACGAGAAACAAGAATGCTTTTGAGTATTTTTAATGAGAGGTGGTTTGGCGCCCTAGGCCCCGGTGCGGCCTTCAGTTCGGGGAGGCTCCTGCGCTGAAGCGCGTAGAATCCCCAAAAAGGCTGTGAGTTGATGGAGTTTTTTCGGCCTGGTTTGCAGGGGACAGACGTCGTGACCGCTTTCGCTATGCTGTGACCGCTATCGCTATGCTGTGACCGCTATCGCTATGCTGTGACCGCTATCGCTATGCTGTGACCGCTATCGCTATGCTGTGACCGCTATCACTATGCTGTGACCGTTATATGCTGTGACCGTTATAGCGGATACTCAGCTGCTGCCGCCACCAGGAGTTTTGCGAGTGTTTTATGGAGATGCCAAGAGGCGCTGGGCTGCGAGGATAGTCGGAGTGTCAGGCCTGATGTATGAGGAGAGGGCCGATGATGACCAGCGGCCCAACTGCTGGAGGGCCGAATGGGGGAGACCCAGGGACGCGGCACGCGTGGCGGCGCCTATTCGGAAGGAGTGAGCTGTGTAGAGATGGGGAGACAGGTTACAAAGCAGCAGTACAGACTTGAGTTGGGCTCTGAACCAGTTGGAGGACATCGGGAGGTTATCGAGAGTGAGAAATAACGGTCCGTTGAGATCTCCTTTCCGTGAGCGGAGGCGAGTGTAGTGTATCATGGATCAAGCGAAACTGTATGATTTCAGAGTGGAAGGTGAGAGGCCCATCTTCATGTAGGATGCCTCGGAGGAGATGAGGAGGCGAAGAGACGGAGGGACTAGTCCAGGGCGAGGGATTCCATGCAGGGGATCTGGGCATGGCGATGGGTTGGCAGAAGGGCAGAGGCGTCGGAACTCCTGGAATAGAAAGGGCCGAGCGTCAGAACTCCTGGAATTTAAAGCGAGAAGAGAGATTCAGCAGACACCCCCCCCCCCCCCCCCCCCCCCCCCCCCCCCCCCCCCCCCCCCCCCCCCCCCCCCCCCCCCCCCCCCCCCCCCCTCCCCCCCCCCCCCCCCCCCCCCCCCCCCCCCCCCCCCCCCCCCCCCCCCCCCCCCCCCCCCCCCCCCCCCCCCCGGATTCTCTTAGTTAAGGTGACGCGGGACGTGCGAGCAGTGATGATAAATTGTTCAGGGCTGAGAGCCATGTGATGCGTCTTAAGGCAAGACTGATTTGGGGAGCGGATGGAACGACCTCTAGATAATTATTTCAATGACGTCGAGGTTGTCGCACGTACGGAAATCCTTTTTCCTATGCCAGTTGGTTCCGCAGCACGAGGCTACAGTCACGGGATATATTGTGGAGCGCGGAGGAGATGCTTCAAGGGAAAGCGTCGGGCCGGGCCCGGCGAACCACTGGTCCTGGAAAACCCCAAAACCCACGGCCGAGGCTGCGCCCCCCCCCCCCCCTACGTGAAGACCGCGGGGAATCTGAGACAGGTTGACGTAACTGTAAAAAAAGAGATACACCTCCCAGCGGCTCTGCATGACGGGACCGGAACGCCAGTCGGAACGGCGCCCCGCGTCCGGGCGACAGCGTCATTGAGGGAGGAGACGGAGCCGGCGAGGGAGAGGAGTCTGGAATTAAAGAACACCTTGGGGAATGATACTCCGGACGGCATAATGACGATGCCGAGGAGGGCAGTGACAAGCAGGAATGTTCAGTCTGACAATCCTTTAAATATCCCACAGGAAACGTGCCCTCGGTCTTAACTTTAAGTTATTGAGTTGTTCCTGTGATATTCCATTCCTCCAGGAACTAATTTGGAAAGAGTACAAAGACAAAGATGGATTGACTTAGAACAATACACAAGGATGGATGACCTGGTGATATCTGGATTGGTGACAAAACATCGCACCTATGCCAGAGCCACTGCAAGTGACAGAGATGGTGAAGATGCACCAACAGGTGAATTGCACACCCTTGAACAATCAAGTTATCCACTTCTTTAACAGTAAAGACATCCCCCTAGAAAGTAAAAATATTTCTGCATGCCACACAATCCCTCAGAAACAAGGGATTATTCCAAAAATTATCTTGAGATTAGCCAATCGCAAACATAAAGTTGAAGTCCTAAAGTTAACAAAAAAGCTAAGGGGCACAGGTGTGTACGTGAATGAACATCTCACAAGAAAAAATGCTGAGATTGCTTATCAGGCACGACTGCTAAAAAAACAAAGAAGATTCAAGATACATGGACAAGAAATTGCAAAGTTATGATCAAACTCACTGGATCGCAGGAGCAAGCCAAGATAATCACAATACGCGAATGTGAAGACTTGGACCAGTTCAGATAAGTTCACAAATGGCTTGGATACTGACAAAGTAAAAAACAAGATGGAGGAATCAACAGACTTCAAGGCTTTTGAATACCAGGAATACAAGCCCTATGATTTAGAAACAGACATTGATCCTGATGGTTATTTGTCTGAGAAATTAAACCTGGACTGTAGCTATTATTCTGAAAACGAAATTAAAGCATCAACAGATGAATTTTCTTTGATCCACTTTAATAGTAGGAGTCTCTATAAAAACATTAACAAAATAAAAGACTATTTAAGTTCAATTTTAGTGTTGTAGCAGTGTCCGAAACTTGGTTGCACAATGATAAGTTGGATTTTGAACTGGAAGGTTATGATTTATTTAAACAAAATCGGACAAAAAAAAGGGGGGAGGAGTTGCCCTCTTTGTAAAAAATGGTATAAAGTGCAACATTATTAAGGATATGACATTTGCCGTAGATGAGCTACTCGAGTGTGATTCTGTTGAGATTCAAACTGAATTGGTTAAGAAAAATATTATAATTAGCTGTATCTATAGGACTCCTGGATCATGTATTGATGAATTTAATAGCAAATTATCTGAGTTATACTGTAAGCAAATTAACAAAAGTCTATTAGTATGTGGTGATTTTAATATTGATTTATTGAAATCCAGTGAACACATAAAAACAATGGATTTTGTAAACAACATGTTTGGTTTGGGTATGTACCCTTTAATATCAAAACCAAGCAGAATTATAAAGGACAGTGCCACATTGATTGATAGTATCTTTCTCAACTTAATGGACAAAAAAATTCAAAGTGGACTACTTTTAACAGATATAAGTGATCATTTGCCAGTTTTTGTGGTTTTTGAAATGAAATGTAAGATTCATAGAGTAGATAACTATAAATTAGAGCGAATTAGACACCAAGAAAGCATTGAGGCCCTTAAAGTTGAGCTTTATAATCATGATTGGAGTGAGGTTTATGTTGAAGATGTGAATGAATCATATAATGCTTTTCTCAAAACTTTTATGTCACTGTATGATCACTTTTGTCCAGTGAGGGAGGTTAAATCAAGACACAAATGGAAACTAAATCCGTGGATGACTAGAGGTCTGCATAAATCTTGTAAAAAGAAAAATCAATTGTATAAAACATTCATAAAACAGCCAACCAAAACAAATGAAGAAAAGTATAAATTCTATAGAAATAGATTGATAACCATAATTCGACAACAGAAGGTGAACTATTATGGCACACTGCTGCAAAAGTATAAATCTAATGTTAAAGAAACTTGAGGTGTAATTAAGGAGGTAATTGATCAGCATCATCCCAAGGATCAATTTACATACATAGTCAAAAATGATGGCAAAGAAACAAATCATGTGCAAGAGATCGCAAATGAATTTAATACATTCTTTGTCAATGTTGGTCCAAACTTGGCTAAACAAATACAACATATTCATGCAGCAGAGGCCTGTTCTGACAATAATAACAATTCCATGTTTCTTAGGGCCGTACTTGAAAGTGATATTTTGGAAGTGGTCAGGAAATGTAAAAATAAGAGATCAACTGATTGTAATAATATAGACATGTCATTGATAAAAGTGGTAATTCATAGTATTGTTAAGCCTCTAACATATGTCTGCAATAGATCTTTTACAACAGGAACCTTCCCTGAAAAAATGAAGCTGGCCAAAGTCCTCCCAATCTTTAAAGATGGTAAAAAGTGTTTGTTAACCAACTACAGACCAATCTCCTTATTGGATCAATTTTCTAAAATTCTGGAAAAATTATTTGTCAAACAACTAGACTGTTTCTTAGAAAAAAATGATATATTGAGTGATCAACAATATGGATTCCGCAGTAACAGATCTACATCCCTAGCAGTCATGGACATGATAGAAAATGTAACCTCAGCTGTTGACAAAAAAGAAAATATAATTGGAATATTTATAGACTTGCAAAAAGCATTTGACACCATTGATAATAAACTACTTCTAGAGAAATGCAATGGTTATGGTATCAGAGGTGTGGTGAATAAATGGCTTGAGAGTTACCTGAATAATAGACGTCAATATGTCCAAATTAATAGAACTAAATCACATTCTGAAACATTACTTTGTGGAATCCCCCAGGGGTCTGTTTTGGGGCCTAAATGATTTATTCTTTATTTTAATGACATCTGCAAAGTATCAAAAATACTGAAGTTAGTGATTTTTGCTGATGATACTAATTTGTTTTGCTCAGGGTATGACATGAATAAGTTAATTGAACAGGTTGAAACTGAGTTGACTTTAGTTAAAAAATGGTTTGACTTAAACAAGTTATCATTAAATGAGAATAAAACAAAATTCATGATTTTTGGACCCTGTAGAGCTCATTCTAATATAAGATTGTACTGGAATGGGATTGAAATAGAGCGAGTCAATCAGATTAGATTTTTAGGGGTGATTATTGATCACCAGATCAGCTGGAAACCACATATACAATATGTCAAGAGTAAAATATCAAAAACAATTGGTATACTTTATAAAACTAAACATGTGTTGGATATTAAATCTCTGCATATAGTTTATTCTTCACTTGTGCTTCCCTATTTGTCTTATTGTTCAGAGATCTGGGGAACCACTTATAAAACACATATAGATCCTATAATTAAAGTACAAAAAAGGGCAGTACGTTTAATAAATAAAGTGGGTTATTGTGACTCTACTAACCAACTTTTTATAGAACATAACATGCTAAAATTTACGGACATAGTTAAGTAAAAAAATTTAGAAATCTTATTCAGAGTTGTAAAAACCAAAGAGATTCCTGTAGGTATTCAGTCTTTCTTCAAAATAAGAAAAAGTTGCTATAATCTGAGAGTTTTTCTTCAGTTGGAAACAAGAAAATCCAGAACTAACGTTAAAAATAGATGTGTGTCTGTCATTGGAGTAAAAATGTGGAATAATCTTAATGACCAGCTTAAGTTAATTAATACATTATCATTATTTAAAACTACCTTAAAATGTGAAATAATTAAGTCATATATCTTGTCTTAGAAGTAATAATAATAAAGATATAACAAAAAGAAATAAGTGAAAAAAAATAAAAATACATTGTTCTACCAAATGTGTAATTTATCTTTTTAAATCAGTAATGTGTACTTTTTTGTTTTTTTGTTTATATAGTTGCTGTGTACAGTAGTAGCTAATGACCTGTATGTGTCATGATGTCAGGTTGGGCTTATACAAGCAAGTTGCTTCAGCCCAATCCTATTTTTGGTTGTAATATAGTCAGTGAATCTAATGTGTTATTGATCAAACAACTGACCAAAAATAAAAATTTCATTCATTCATTCAAATTTCATTCATTCAAAAGAACACAATTACAAGTTTAGATTTTGCACAATATGTCCCCTTTAAGAATTGCATAAAACGTAATGATTTTCAAACTTATTTAACAAAATATAACATATACCTTTAATCATAACAGCAGGGCCGACAGACTAGACTAATAGCTTTCTTGTCCCATGAAATCCATTCTAAAGAGTACATTTCTCCACTGAACGGCTCAGTGATGGTGTGATGACAGTGTCCTTGGGTTGGTTTCTCATTCTTTGAGGGTTGGGGCTATAGTCTTATCGTGGGCAGCCAAAGACGGCCCTGGATCCCGCAGCTCATCACCAGCTCAAGATTACCGCCCCTCTTTCTCCCAGCGTCGTCTCACTCTCTCTCACTAAAAGCTGATAAAAGTGACGGCAAATCCCATTCACGTGTCCTTGAAAAGCACATATTCGCTGCACCTTTGAACCAGACCGTGCAAAGTGAAACTGAAATGCTTAATCTGCATTAGTGTAGTCTTCTTTGGGATCTAATTAAAACATTTAAGTTTAAAATACAGAAAAAGCTATTTTGACCATTTATTCGTTTGCACAAAATAAAACAAAAATCACATAATTAAAGTAATAAATGCATAAAAATGATAAATATCCCAATATGAATTCAACTACAGCAAACTCAATTTTCAGTTGCTATCCCAGTACAATACCGTTATACATTCTCAAATCTGAACTCTTTTCAAATTTCAAATCGAGCCTTATTCACTTTTATACAGATACTGTATGCCACAAAGGAAAAGCTAAACTTGTATATATTTCATATATATATTTCTTATTTTCACCCCTTAGCAGTGTGTCATCCATCATCCATACATGACTTACCACATACGTGACATTTCTTTCCCATTATTATTAGAGTAACTGGATCCAGTGGACTCTGACGTCAGATGCATTTAAGAGCACTGGGAACAGCCAGGCTCATAATAGAAATGTATGTAATTAGACTAGGGCTGTCAAAATTATCGCTTTAAGGCACATTAATAAAAAAAAATCGCATTGAGGCATGTACAGAGGAATGCCCCGCCCATCTGAGTCTGAGTCTCTACAGAAAGACAGAATGTTAATAATGTGGACCAGGAAACATGACCACATTAGTCCAGTTCTCAGGTCTCTGCACTGGCTTCCTGTGGCTCAGAGAATAGACTTCAAGGCAGCACTGCTTGTGTACAAGTCTCTCCATGGCCTCGCACCAAAGTACTTAAGCGACTTGTTAGTGCCATATGAACCGGCCCGGACTCTGAGGAGCACAGGAGGAAGCCTCTTACTGGTTCCAAGAGTCAGAACTAGACATGGGGAGGCAGCGTTTCAGATTTATGCAGCTAAAATCTGGAACAATCTTCCTGAAGATGTGAGGCTAGCATCTACTCTGGCAATTTTCAAATCAGGGTTAAAAACTATTCTTTTTAGCTGTGCATACAGCTGAAGGACTTTTTAATGCATAGTGGTTATTTATTATTTTTATCCCGTGTGTGCTTTTAATGTTTTAAGGTTTTTAATTACTTGTGATTTTATTCTGTTTTTAATGAATTTTTTGTTTATATATGTAGATTTTTATGTTTCTGCTTTGTCTGATATTATGTGGGTTGTGCATGTTGGAAAGGCGCCATACAAAATTAGGTTGATTGATTTTTATGTGGATTTATTGTCATTATAAAAAACAAATACAGTTCATATGTATACTATGTTGTCATTTATCTTTCCATTCAATCAACCATTTACAGAAAAATATGGCATCATTTTGCCAATCGTTAGGAATTAGATTAATTACGATTAATACATTTTTAAGCTGTAACTAACTCGATGAAACATTTTAATCGTTTGACAGTCCTAAATTAGACACATGTAAGCGACTCACCCATTTTGATCAGTGCAATGAAGTACGCTGTCCCTCTGCAAGTGTTCCACTGGTTTGTTTGGGTCCGATATATGCGACAAAAGCAGGAAAAACATGGTGCGTTTAATTGCACTGTGGAAATCTGATGTGCTTCTGCAGTTGAGCCGGTGTGAAAATGAGATGCTCAAAGTAAACAAGCATTTACTCAGAGCAATTCTTAAAAGTGTGATATACAGTATGTACAGAATGGAATCTTATTTTGCAATCACTGTTCCAAAATCTGAGTGCTGATGCAAAGTTACGAGACGCCTTTGAAAGCATTGGTAGGTGCATGGAGACAAGAGGTGAGACCAGTTATTTTTGACACATACTCTGTATCCTTAGGCCGTGCAAACGTACTCAGTGTCTGACATCGCACATTGACTCTCCACACTTTTGTCAGACCACTACTCTGCCCCGACAGCGTCTTCAATTCAATCATACATACAGACGGGGCCAGTGCGGTCTTACTCAGGGACACCGCCACGCTTTATACTACCATGTCATAAAAGCAGTGACTTCGGAACCACTGCATTCATAACAGACTGTGAGGACAAGAATAGAATACTTATGGTTTCAAGTCGTGAAGGATTTTGTTTTTGCAGATTGCCCATAATCGTGTGTGTATGTGAGCAGTGAGCAGAGGAGTGAGTTCTGTGATTAGCCTGGATCTTCATGATACAATATGAGACTATAGCCTCCCAGACAAGTGGATTAGACTGGAAGGCTTTCTATCTGTCTGACAAATTAAGCATTTCAGTCCTCCGCATCTTTCCAACATATTATTTTAATCAACGTAGCTATCGTCAGAAGCTGCTGCAAAATGTGTTTTTAATGCAGCATATGTGGTAACCAAACGTTAACTAAAAGAGAATAGAGATGCTTGTTTTCTAAAAGTATTAAGTAATCTTTATTTATATACAGTAGTTCCTTACACAGACAAGTGTAAGAGTCAAAAAGGCTTTACACTTACAGTATGGGCATTAACAATCTCTGCACAGATATGGAAGCAGGGTTGCCATGGTAGGAGAAACAGGATACCACCATATGTCATCCAGGCCTAGCATTATGCTATATCTGGCAGGAAAGTTATGTTGTATGTGTTCCCAGTGTGATTCACAAAGGATAAAAAAAAAAAAACTGAATCTTTTATAGACTATTTCTCCTAATAAAAGAATTCCTTCATTCATCCATCCATCCATCCATTTTCTTCCCCTTAATCCATTTCTGGGTCGGGGGGGTGGCAGTCAGAGATGCCACCCAAGTCACATAGCACAAGCCCCTCACTGATCCTCCTGCAGGTGGTGAGTCCACAGGAGGATGGCTGCTCTGTCAGTGTGAGCATAGCCTTGATCTTTCAGCGATCAAGGCTTCCTTCATTCATTCATTCATTATTCACTGAACTTTGATGGAATTTTTAGTCCCCGTAAGAAGCAACTTTACTTTAACCTTGAAGAATTTAAACAGCAATGTGACTTTCTGAAACATTGCAAGACTCCATGCAAATATATTATTAGTCTTTTTTAGTGCAACTTAAGGCTGGAGTACCCAACTTCATGTAAAAGTAACATGTTGTGAACAAACCAGACAACAACATACTTTCTTCATCTTTTACAGTAGTTATCTGTTTGTACTTGTGAGAAACTTGTCCTCACTGTGGATGGTCTTTTCTCTTTTTAACTTCTTTGTTTTCTGCAAAAAGGCAAAATACATGCACTTGAAAATGAGTGATGGAACTGTTTTGAGAGCGAGGAACTAGTTAGATTAGTTAGCTGTTACGTAGTTGCATTAGGTACTCCAGATTTGATCATATAAAATGAAAATCAAAGTATAACATTTGCTTCAGTACTTGTTAAAAAGTTACATGGTATTGCTTCACCAAAACATCATCAGCTTCATCAGAGGCTCATCTGGTCTTTTACATACGCCAAAACAACAGAAGAAATGTATTTGCTAATCTACTTTTTTTAGGCCAACCTCAAACTTTCTTTAACTGAATTATTCTAATGAAACGTGTGTCAGAACCGAGAGCAGAAATGGTGCGGATACGATTCAGACTTCTCGCCCGGACAGTATGTTTGCGGACCCTCCCGGGGGACTCGGGCATTTGCAGTGGCCACTGTGTTCTGCACACATTGAACTATTCCTATATAGTCCAAACGCAGAGCATAAATCACTGTTTGGAGTCAGGCGGAGATTTGACGATACCAACATATTCCATTCCATCTTTATCGGTGACAACTCCTCACTGTCGCAGAGAATCACTCACTAACCTCTATAAATATTGTTGACAGCTACAGAGTCAGCGGAGACAGCTGCCAAATGTGCTTCTTGTTCCAGATCTGTCTTATATGAACTTGTAATGATTAGCATAGAAGTCACCTATAACCAAAAACAGTCAATCAAAGCCTGAGCGTGGATGATTCATTTCCAATATGCACATAATTATATATTTATTTTTGAGTTGTGATTTAAATTTCCTAGAGTTGTTTGATTTCCCCTTCCTTTTTTTTCTTTCAAACAATAATTTACCAGCTGTATGTGAAAACTCTTCTAATGCTGCTGTCCTTGGGGCTGACCCTTCATCCTGATTCTGACTGTTTAAAAACGCTTTTCAGACTTTATGGAACGGTTTGGAGAATCTGCTTCGGTTTAAGTATAAAGCCGTCTATATATTTCTGTAAATAAAGAGATGATTTTCACACATCTCCACAGAAGAAATATCTTTTCCACCTCATTAGCTGAGACTGTAAATTAGCACCGGTAAGCGTCATTTATCTCCAAAGAGTCCATAAGCTGTGCATAACGATAATGTAAAAATAACTTTCTGGAGGTAGAAAATCACCTGCTTATTTGATGGAAAGAAAAACTTAAAACTCATACGAAATCTTTTCAATGCATATTGTGTAAAGAGACCTGAGCAAAGAGCAAAAAAAAATCCTGTTTGTTTCCATGTGAAAGCTGCAAATGGGCTGAGTCTCTCTCTCTCTCTTCACGGCAAGAAGCTCAGGCATTTCCTTCCACCTCCTGACAGCCTTTCTGAGTGGGGTTTGCATTTTCTCCCTGTGTCTGTGTAGGATTTCTCTGGGTGCCTCTAAAAACATGTACATTAGCTCCTATCTCTTTGGGGCCAAGACTCCCCTGGAAAAGAGATGCGTCAATACCAGCACATGTAAAAAGCGTATCCACAACAAACATGGTGCTTCCCAGTGAGAGAAGGCACGCGACAAGATGGGAACAAAGAGAACTGCATGCAGGTGTGAAGGGCAGATCCATGAGCTCCAAGACCAGCAGGTAGAACGGGCGGGAGATGTGGGCCGAGTCGCGGGTAGCTATCTCACATGCCTTCCACGCTAGGCTAATGTACTGCACCTTTGCTATGTTGCTATGACAGACACAAGCCTCAACACCTCCATATGTGCTTTTGAGCCTTCAGCTGCTGCTTTTGTTTTCCTAATGTGTGGTTGTCTGTGTTATTCACTGGTTAAACCTATTGGATCTGCATGTAAACCGAGAGTGGACTCTGCAACTCAAATTAATCCCAAATGAAATGCTTTCTTTTAGCTGACTCTCTCGTCACCTTCCAGGCTCAGTATTAATCACCGCCTTTGTCTTTAGAGTGATCAGTGTAGAGGTGCCCCCCGCAGCGCTCTCTCCACTGTCTTCACTTTGTTTGATGACTCAGTGGTGAACAGAAATAGGCCACTTGTCTTCTCTTCCACATGTCACACGGAGACGACATATGCGGCACGTCGTTCCACGAACTCTCTCGTGCAGGGAAACCATGTGTGCTCCCACTCCGCCACAACAACATCTCCCCGTTTCATATGGATGGATGCTAGACAAAGATATAAGACAGTTTCATGTCATAAAATGCTTTTTAGAACTAATGTTGATGCTGCGTTTTGTGTTTGAATTCACTATTTCCCCATTTGCCCCAGACGGGTTTATTTTTGAATGTGTTAGAAAATGGCAGCAAGTCCGAAGTCGCTCTGAAAAAGTTGTTTTGTGCTTTAGAATTTTTCTTTTTCTTGCTTTTTTCTACTTGAGATGTTGCTGCAGTACAGTGGGCATAGTTTTGCACTGGTCCAGAGCAGAGCAGAGAGGATTCATGGTCCGAACCATCAGGTGAAAATCCACTGGAAGAATGCTAACTTTTTGAAAAATGCTAATGAAGCATTTAGCATTTTACTTTGGACTAGAGCAGAGAAAATGGTCCAAACCAAGCGGCTACTCCACCTTGTGACCTGTCCTGCTCCACCCAGAGGCTACTCCACACCTGCTGCTGTGACCTGAAGGGCTTTTGCTGATTATTACTATTGTTAGCTTTTTTGAACACTCAATTTAATTTTTTATTTTTACTGCTACTGGACACTTTAATTTCTATCCACAGGTGAAACTGTGAAAATGCTCTCTGACTCATTAGCAGGCAATGAGTTAATATTGTTTAGTGAACTAAACCGTCCACTTTAACCACTCAAGTGATGCCAAGGGCTGTCAATCATCGGCGCTGATGCTCGTGGCTGCTCATGCTCAGTAGTTTGTTTTCACGGAGCCTCCGAATCAAGCCTCCATTAGGCTCTGGAACTACATGAAAACTGAACAAAGAATTCTGAACATCCGCGCTGAGTTACCCATTTATATACTGAACCATAATGAGATCCTCTGCAGATGTGCCTTAAAATGTTCAATTAATGATAATAGCTACTTCCGGGTTTACCGTGATCGCTTTTATTTGTGCATTAAAACATTTTTTTTTTTCTATAATATGTTCTCTGATTAACAATTAAACGTGTTGATTGATTGTGACGGAAAAGGCATAGACCAATCAGAAAGGAAGGGAGCTTGGGTCGTCTTTTCTAATCATGTAGATTTCTCTCTTTTTTCTGACAAACTCCAGAAAATCATTTTAAATGTCCTGTATCATCACTATCCTTCTAAACATGAATTGAAAAGTAATCACAGTATAGTATCTAATCTTAAATGGCTAACATGATTATATTATGATTGTTAGGTCATAGATCTTTGTCAGAACTTTCTTTTTGCAGAAACTCTGTGCTAAATTTAACATTGCAGGTGGGTCTGAGTAATACATAGAGAAAAGGAATAAGCTTTTCAATGATGAAAACAATCATTTTGAAGTGTTTGTTGATAATGACCCCATGAATCTTGCTTAGGGTCTACTTTTACCATCTACAATTGTCCATGGTGCTTTGACTCGTACCCTGCAGCTTTCACCCCCTTACAGAAAAATGAGCCCTCTTCTATGATTGTAGACGCGTGCAATACTTTATCACCATTACATCACACAGCTATCAATCACTCTGCTTCGATTTTCCAATGGGTTCTCTCTCTCTCTCTCTCTCTCTCTCTCTCTCTCTCTCTCTCTCTCTCGCTCTCTCTCTCTCTCTCTCTCTCTCTGCACATATAATCAACGAGAATCAAATAACCGCAGTGGCAGAAAAATGGTCCTGCATGTTCCACCCACTCCTATGTGACAACTCGTCATCTGTACCATCCCCAATTACAGCAGTTAATTACACAGTTGTCCAAATGGATTTGATCTGCCGGAGATTTAATTGCATCAAAATAACACACGTTTTGTGCTGGTTTCTGCAGTTATTTATATTACATTGGCTTGAGATTTGAGATTTTGTCACCAACCACTTACATACATGAATACAATTTACGTTTTTGTCCATAGCAATTATAAAGTATAAAGAGAGAATATAAAAGTATAGATAAATTAGAATATTAACAAGATAAATAAAAGATCTTGATACATGCACTTACGCGTTTCCACTCAATTTTCGACATGGTTCAAAGAATTTGTTTTCATTATAATGGTGTGACAAACATTCCAGGAACAACCCATCCCTGGCCAGTAAATACTAAAAAAGTCCAATTCTCCAATTTAATTTACCCTCCCTCGTTGAAATATATGTGATTCCCACAAACATTTTCAAAATGGCCGAGAGCAGCCCTTCCCGCAGGAAAATGGTGAAAAAACTCTTTTGGAGACAAGGCTACAGTATATCATGTGCACGAGCCTGATACATGTCATTCATTTAACGTGTTCATTAGAAGGTCCACAGCAGCTAAACAAGGCTGGTCCAAATGAAAAACTCCCTTCAGCATTGACGCGCATTTGGAACGTAGCGTTGAGCCAAGAGCGGACTTTTGGACCAGGCTGTAAAACCGTTTTTGAGGGGGAAAAAGGCACCATATGAATGCATTGGATCATTCTGTTTCCGGGCACACCACCACCGGCAAGGAGTCAGATTACAAGGAGTGAGATTACAAGGAGTCAGATTACATGGGGTCAGATTACAAGGGGTCAGATTACAAGGAGTCAGATTACAAGGAGTCAGATTGCAAGGAGTCAGATTACAAGGAGTCAGATTACAAGGAGTCAGATTACAAGGAGTCAGAGTACATGGGGTCAGAGTACATGGGGTCAGATTAGAAGGAGTCAGATTACAAGGAGTGGCTTTGAAGAGATTATTGCTTACCGTACTGCATGTCCGGTAAGCAGTACTGCAGGGGCTGCTCTGTGCACCTTTTTAGTAAACTTTTAACAACTTTTTAGCGCGTTTTTATTGTTCAGTTTTTTAATATATCTGAGTGTTTTATCTTATTAATTCAGTGGTTTCAGCAAATAGCGCTTAGTCCCGACTGAAACCCACTAGTAGCACAGAGGCTAACACAAGCTAACGAGGACATGGAAAGTGACAATGAAAGAAGTCCTTCGTCTCACCGCAGAGTTGAATGAGAAACAATCTCTAGTGTCCAAACTTTTTGAAGTCGCTGGTGGGCAGCATTCACGGCTTATGTCACTGAGCGCTGCATATTGTGACACTGTCGTGTGGGAGAGATCCGTCAGCTCCGGACCCTCCTGTTCTACACCTAAGCGCCCGGTTCCGAATAACGAGCCCGCGGATTCCGAGGAGCCATCCTGCGCCGTGGCCCATGTCCTGAGTCTGGCAAACCGCTATGCAGCCCTCTCCACCGACATCCCGGCCCCCTCAGCAGAATCCCTGGACACTGCAGCGTACTCTACTGCTCGAGGATCCAAGTCCACTACGAGGAAAACGCTCCTAAAGGAAG